CCCCAAATTCCCGTTCCCCACCCCAAATCCCCCCTCCCAATTCCCCATTCCCATTTTTCCCCGTGACTCCTCAATCCTGGTTTCCCCACCCCAAATTCCATTTCCTCACTCTTCACTCCTGTTTTTTTCCCATCCCTCAATCCCAGTTTTTCCCCCCAAATTCCCGTTCCCCACCCCGAATCCCCCCCTCCCAATTCCCATTTTTCCCCCTGACCCCTCAATCCCAGTTTTTCCCCCCAAATTCCCGTTCCCCACCCCGAATCCCGCCCTCCCAATTCCCCATTCCCGTTGTTCCCCACATTCCCGTTTTCCCAGCTGGAGCTGGAGCTGCTCCGGGCCCGCCCGGTGTCGGTGTCCCTGTGGATCCTGGGGGGCAGCGCCCTGGGGGGGCTCCTGCTGCTGGCGCTGCTCAGCCTCGGCCTCTGGAGGGTGAGGGGACACCGCGGGGACACCGGGGGTGGCACCGAGGGGGACACGGTGACACCTTGGGGTGACACCTTGGGGTGACACCTTGGGGTGACACTGGGGGGGACACGGTGACACCTCGGGGTGACACCTTGGGGTGACACTGAGGGGGATTGGTGACACCTTGGGGTGACAATGGGGGGGACACGGTGACACCTTTGGGTGACAATGGGGGGGATCGGTGACACCTTTGGGTGACAATGGGGGGGACACGGTGACACCTTGGGGTGACACTGAGGGGACACGATGACACCTCGGGGTGATACCTTGGGGTGACACTGAGGGGACACGGTGACACCTTGGGGTGACAATGGGGGGACACGGTGACACCTTGGGGTAACACAGGGGGACACGGTGACACCTTGGGGTGACACCTTTGGGTGACAATGCGGGGGACACGATGACACCTCGGGGTGACACCTTGGGGTGACACTGAGGGGGATCGGTGACACCTTGGGGTGACAATGGGGGGACACGGTGACACCTGGGGGTGACACTGAGGGGGATCGGTGACACCTTGGGGTGACACTGGGTGAGGCACGGTAACACCCAGGGGTGACACCTGGGGGTGACACCAAGGCGGGGTATGATGTCACCTTGGGAGGGTGACACCGTGGCCATGTCACAGTGACAATGTCACCTTGAGACAGTTGTGGTGTCACCCTCGGGGAGGGTAACAATGTCACCTGGACAGGGTCATGGTGTCACCTTGGGAGGGTTGTGGTGACACCTTGGGGTGACACTGAAGGGACATGGTGACACCTTGGGGTGACACTGGGTGAGGCACGGTGACACCTGGGTGTGACACCAAGGCGGGGTATGATGTCACCTTGGGAGGGTGACACCGTGGCCATGTCACAGTGACAATGTCACCTTGAGACGGTTGTGGTGTCACCTGGACAGGGTGATGGTGTCACCTGGAGAGGGTCGTGGTGTCACCTTGGGAGGGACGGGTCCATTTCCCATCTCCCATCCCCATCTCCCACCCCCGTCCCTCCTCTCCCCAGCTGGGATTCTTCTCCCACCCGAAGCCCTCCCGGGAGGAGGAGGAGGAGGAGGAGGATGAAGAGCACTGAGGTGGCAGGAGGACATCCCAGAACCTCCTCCTGGGACATTCCAGGCTTTGGGATCGATGCAGGGACCAGGGGATGATGCTGGAGCCCTGAGGATGGAGCTGGGAGTGGGAAAAGTGGGAATGAACTGGAAATTAAATCAAGAAATAAAATGAAATTAAAAAAAAATATTAAAAATTAAAAAAAATTTAAATAATAATAATAATAATAATAAAACAAAAAGAATAAAGCTCCAGCTTGGCTGGGTCCTGCATCCCTGTGGACAGGGGAGCAGGAATGATTCTGGATCCAGGGAAAAAAAAACCCAAAAAACTCTGGAATGATCCCAAATGTAACCCAGAGGGATGGGGAGATATAAACCCAGGGATAAATTTATAAATCCAGGGATAAATTTATAAATCCAGGGGTAAATTTATAAATCCGGGGGTAAAATTTATAAATTTTTTCTATTTATAAATTTATAAACCAAGGCATAAATTTATAAATAAACCCAGGGATAAATTTATAAACCCAAGGATAAATTTATAAACCCAGAGATATCCTGGGTTTACCTCTGAGTTTATAAATTTATAGATTTATAAACCCAGGATACCACGAGAATGAGGAAAATTCCCAAGCTGCAAACCTGGAAGAAAAAAATCACGGGGAATGAGAAAAAAAAAACCCGAAACAACCAAATAATGAGGAAAAAAATCAAGATTTTCCTTAAGTTCTGTGGGGTTTCCAAGGGAGTGGTCCACAATTCCTGCCTGGAATGACTCGTGGGGGAGCAGAGGGAGCTTTGGACACACCTGGGGCCAACAGGCAACATGGAAAAGGGTCAGAAAAAAACCCCAAAAAGCCCAAAAAATAGTCCAAGGAAGGGAGAAAATCCTGCTCAGAGCATTCCTGATAGCACGGCGTTCCCAGGGCGCTCCTGAAGCTCCAACCCCCCCTCAGGAAGGGCTCCAGAACCTTCCTTCTTCCAACTGCCACGATTTTATGGAGCCCCAAGGATTCCATCCCAAATGGGACAATCAAATCTCTCACGGTTGCAATTCCAATCTCCTGAAGTGCGGGAAAATCCCCAAAAATATCCCATTTTTATCCCAAACTTTTTTTTTTTTTTTCCCCAGAGGAGCCTACGAGGGAGACATGGAACCCCCTCTTTCCTACTGGGAAAAAAAAACCAACAAAACCCAACAACCCAAAAAAACCAACCTTTTCTGCTACAAAAATTAAATCACTCCCAAAAAATCCCAATTTAGGCAATTCCATGGAGCAGAAGGAAAAATTCCTGGGAAGAGAGCGCTCGGTGCTGTGATCCCCAAATTTCTGCTACTCAGGGTGGGGTTTGTTGGAATTCTCAGGCAATGTACACCTCCAGCTGGGATGCTCTTGGCTTCTGGAAGGTTCTGGAAGGTTCTGGAAGGTTCTGGAAGGTTGCAGAATTGTTTTAGAAGGGTCAGAAAGTCCAACTCTCCTGCACTGGGCTGTCGGCAGGGTCGGGATTTGGGATTTGCCGGGTGGAATCTTCTCCCTTTAAACTCTTCCTGCACACTGGACACGTGTCGTGCTGTGGGGGGAATCAGAGATGTGATCCTGGATTTATTCCCACCTGGATGCTCAGAATTTTCAATTTCAGGGATTTATGGCCCTCTGGATGCTCAGAATTTTCAATTTCAGGGATTTATCCCCCTCTGGATGCTCAGAATTTTCAATTTCAGTGATTTATCCCCCTCTGGATGCTCAGAATTTTCAATTTCAGTGATTTATCCCCCTCTGGATGCTCAGAATTTTCAATTTCAGACATTTACCTTCCCTGGATGCTCAAAATTTTCAATTTCAGGGATTTACCTTCCCTGGATGCTCAAAATTTTCAATTTCAGGGATTTATCCCCCCTGGATAACTTATCCCCCCCCTGGATGCTCAGAAATTTCAATTTCAGGGATTTATCCCATCCCTGGATGCTGAGAATATTCAATTTAAGGAATTATTCCCTCTGGATGCTCATAATTTTCAACTCCAGGGATTTATCCCCCACCTGGATCCTCAGAATTTTCAATTTCAGGGATTTATCCCCCCCTGGATGCTCAAAATTTTCAGCTCCAGGGATTTATCCCCTCTGGATGCTGAGAATTTTCAACTTTCTGTGCTGAAAAGCACCAAGCCACAAGGAAATGTCACACCTGACCCGAAGCCGTGGAGGAAAATCCCAAAATTTTTTGGGAAGGATGAGCTCAGTTTGAGTAGAAGTGTGAAACATCAATTAAGTGTTTAAGGTTTTAAAATGCAGTCAATAGAGAGAAGTTTTAGGACAGTTTAATTTAGTTTTAGGAAGTTTTTCATTTTCTTCTTCATGAGTTTGAGCAGTGTTATAAAAGTCCTCACTGTGGGCTTGGAGTGATTAGTTATTAGGTTAAAAATAAAATTAATTGAAGTGTCAATTCTTAATTGCACTGTTTAGCCTTAAAAGATCTTAGACAGGAAGTTAATTAGGGCTAGGGTTATTTTGTAGCTCATTAGTTGAATACTTTAGAACTCAACGTACAATAAATGTAATATATTATATTGCATGATGCATATATAGATAACGATTAATAAACATCTGAGCCCAAACCTAAAATTCCATCTCCTACATATCCTAATCAAAAAAAAAAAAAGATAAAAATATTATATTTATGGGTTTTTTGGGGTTTTTTTTGGGATCTTACCAGCTCCAGCCAGGGCACGATGCAGCTGCTGTGGAAGACGTGGTTGCAGGGGAGCTGCCGGACCTGCTCGGCCACGGCGTAATCCTCCTTGCACACCGGGCACTCCAGGCCTGTGTCTGTGGAAAAGTGGGAATGAGAGGCAGGAAAAAAGGGATCTGCACTTGGGAGTCACTTCTGGAGGGATTGCTGGGAGTGGGGAGGGAGGGAACACGGAGATCATGAGGAATGGGAGGTGTGGGTGGAGATGGAGAATGCAGGGAGAGAGGAATTCCTGGCAGGATCCATCCATCCATCATCCATCCATCATCCATCCATCCATCATCCATCATCCATCCATCCATCATCCATCCATCCATCGTCCATCCATCCATCGTCCAACCATCCATCCATCCATCATCCAACCATCCATCCATCCATCATCCATCCATCATCCAACCATCCATCCATCCATCATCCATCCACCCAAAATCCTCCAGGGATGGAGCATCCAGAGAATAAAGAATTCCTGCTGGGAGCACAAGCTCATCCAGGGATCAAGGAATTCCTGCCAGATTCTCCACAGAAAATCCTGCTGGGAACACGAGTTCCTCCAGGGATCAAGGAATTCCTGCTGAGCTCTGGGCTCCACCCACAACCCCAAGGGAACAGGAGGAATTCCAGATGTTCTCCACATTCACAAAAACCAAATCCAAAGGAAGGTTGGATGCCTGCCACAACTTCCCAGCCTGGAACACGGGCTGAAGATCCCAATCCCATGGGAGATGGCTGAAATCCAACTCCTCCTCTCCCTGTTCCGAGCTTTTGATGTTATCCTGGACACCACCAGGAGCTGAGCTCCTCTGGTGATCCCACCCAACTCAGATATTCCGAAATTTCATGATTTCTAGCTTGCTTTGTGGACTCAGACATGTGGAATTCCAGCTAGTCCTCGGCTTCCCAGAAAAGAGGAGGACAGAAAACCACAGGATAAAAATATCCTGGGTGGAAGTGTCTGGTTGAACCATAATGGTAACAGAGCAGCTGGGAGGGGGAGGGAAAAATTCATGGAGTTGGAATTGCAAAGGCAGGATTGCTCCGAGACATTCCCCTCAAGGCCCTGCTGGCAGATTCCCATGAGATTTCCAGAGCAGAGTGGTTGAAAGGGAAGAAGGGACGAGTTGAGAGCATAAACAGGGATTTGGGATGGGAAAATCAGAATGGGGATGGGAAAATCATAATTCTGATGGAAAAATCACAATGGGGATAGGAAAATCATAATTCTAATAGAAAGATCATAACGAGGATGGGAAAATCATAATTCTGATGGAAAAATCATAATGGGGATGGGAAAATCGTAATTCTGATGGAAGAATCACAATGGGGATAGGAAAATCATGATGGGGGTGGGAAAATGATAATTCTGATGGAAAAATCATGATGGGGATGGGAAACCACCATAGGATGGGGAAGAGTCAGAAGAGCACGTTTTAGGATTCCTCAAACCCTCTGGAGAATGCCAGGGTTCCAAAATTCCCGGGAGAAGGGAACACCAGCAAAGCTTGGGAGCTGCCAGCCCAATTCCAGGGGTACAAAGGGGAGCTCAGGATGTCCAACACCAGCACCCAAGTGCCCCTGGATCTGGGGGGGATCCATCACCCACCAACTTGTTCCTGTGTCACCAGCACTGTTGGGAGCGAGGAGATCTTCTCCTTGTCTGCTGGCGGTGGTCCCGTGTTCTCCAGCTGCCCCAGGAGCTGTGGAGAGGGGAAAAATTCCAGGTTCAGGAGCAGGAGGGATGGAAGATAGATGATGGATGGATGGATGGATGGATGGATGATGGATGGATGATGGATTGAGGGATGGATGATGGATGGATGATGGATGGATGGATGATGGATGGATGGATGGATGGATGATGGATGGATGATGGATTGAGGGATGGATGATGGATGGATGGATGGATGGATGATGGATTGAGGGATGGATGATGGATGGATGGATGGATGGATGATGGATTGAGGGATGGATGATGGATGGATGATGGATTGAGGGATGGATGATGGATGGATGATGGATGGATGATATATGGATGATGGATGATGGATGGATGGATGGATGATGGATGGATGATATATGGATGATGGATGGATGGATGGATGGATGATGGATGGATGGATGGATGATGGATGGATGATATATGGATGATGGATGGATGGATGGATGATGGATGGATGGATGGATGATGGATGGATGATAGATGGATGATGGATGGATGGATGGATGATGGATGGATGGATGGATGATGGATGGATGATATATGGATGATGGATGGATGGATGATGGATGGATGGATGGATGGATGATGGATTGAGGGATGGATGATGGATGGATGGATGGATGGATGATGGATGGATGGATGGATGATGGATGGATGATGGATGGATGATGGATGATGGATGGATGGATGGATGATGGATTGAGGGATGGATGAGGGATGGATGGTGGATGGATGATGGATGATGGATGGATGGATGGATGGATTGAGGGATGGAGGGATGGATGATGGATGGATGATATATGGATGATGGATGGATGGATGGATGGATGATGGATGGATGGATGATGGATGGATGGATGATGGATGGATGATGGATGGATGATGGATGGATGGATGGATGGATGGAGGGATGATGGATGGATGGATGAATGGATGATGGATGGATGGATGGATGATGGATGGATGATGGATGGATGGATGGATAGATGGATGGATGATGGATGGATGGATGATGGATGGATGGATGGATAGATGGATGGATGATGGATGATGGATGGATGGATGGATGGATGATGGATGGATGGATGATGGATGGATGGATGGATAGATGGATGGATGATGGATGGATGGATGGATAGATGGATGGATGATGGATGGATGGATGATGGATGGATGGATGAATGGATGGAGGGATGATGGATGGATGGATGAATGGATGATGGATGGATGGATGGATGGATGGATGGATGATGGATGATGGATGGATGGATGTGCCACTGGAGCTCTCACCCCTCTCCTGGCACGGGTGGCACTCACCTGGGTGACGATGGCGTCGAGGCCGCTCTGTCCCCACGCGTAGTCGCCGGGGCTGGAGTGCAGCATCCCGCTCCTGCCAAGGCAGAGGCCAGGAATTGCCCCCAGTGCCAAAGCGGGCACAGCTTACTGGGAGTTACTGGTGGGGATCTGGGCTACTCACCAGGAGAAGGGGTGCTGGGAGCCAGGAAGGGCTGGGTTGGCAAAAAAGCCAGCAAAGATCTGCTGGATTATCCTGAGAAAGGAGGAGGAATACGGGAAGAAAGAGTTAAGTGAAGGAAATAAATTGGTGGAAGAAAGGATGTGGAAGGCAAGCAGGAATTCCTCTCTGGATGAATGGCTCGTGGATGTGAAAATCCCTGGATAAAAATCCAGAACAGAGACAGCAGGTGTTGGACAACAGCCTTTTCCTGACCCAGAGATGGGAAAACTGACAGGAGTTTTAAAAACTTTTATTCTGTTCTCTGTCTCATGAGAAGGGTGAGGCAATACCGGTGTTATAATTCACACCATCACAATTAAAAACGAATTATTTCTAACTTTATCTCTACTTCCATTCCCCTCTCAACAACGCCTGTTCTATCCCATAACATTTCTAAATCAACAATTTAATATCTCAAAATTTCCATACAATAGAAACAATTTTCGGTCTCATGAGAAGGGTGAGGCAATACCTGTGTTATAATTCACACCATCACAATTAAAAACTAATTATTTCTAACTTTATCACACCATCACAATTAAAAGTGAATTACTTCTAACTTTACTTCTGTTCCCCTCTCAACAATGCCTGTTCTATCCCATAACATTTCTAAATCAACAATTTAATATCTCAAATTTTCCATACAAATACATGCAATATAAGCAATTTTCGGTCTCATGTGAAGAGTGAGGCAATACAGGTGTTATAATTCACACCATCACGATTGGAAGCCAACTACTCTAATTTGTAAACTTTTTTCTAACTTCTGAACTTATTCCTAATTTTTACACTGATTTCTAATTCATGCTTTTCTAATTTCTAAACTCGTTTCTAATTTTTAAACTTGTTTCTAATTTCTAAACTTCTAATTTCTAAACGTTTCCTAGCTCCACTCCTCTCCCCCTCCTGTAACGCCTCCAAACCATCTCCCTCACCCATCCATCCATCCCCCTCAAATTTTCCACACAACCCCAAACCATCCACATCTCCTATAAACCCCAAAACCTCCTTAGAAATGCGGTTTTTTTTTCATTTTTTTCCCTCTGCTTTCCCAGCAGGACTCACCCCTCGATGGCCGGCGATCGATCCGGGCGGGAGCTGCCGCGGGCCCGGTACCTCCGCGGCATCGGCAGCCGCGGGGGACGCCCGGGACCCCAAAACTCGTTTGGGGGACCCCTCTCCACCTCCCTGCTCTCTCCATCCAAGGAGCTGCTGCTCAGGAAGGGTCGGAAATCCGGGAAGAACATGGTGTGATCCAGGTGGTCCCAAAGCTGGGGAGAGGGGGGAAAAAAGGAGATCTCAAGACCCCAAGAAAGTCAAATTTGTTTCCCAAGTTTGAATGTGTAGGATCAGCTTCTCAACGTTGTTATTTTCCTTATCTAGAACATTCTTTATCTGACCTGCTGAGCTCTGGCCAGCAGCTCGGCCGTGGCATTCTGTCTGCCCTCTAGGGTATTTTACACATTTTATTTACACATTTTATATAGAAAGTTACAGATTTTATATTAAAATTTCACATTTGATACAAAAATTTACACATTTTGTACTAACATTTCACATTTCATACTAAAATTTATATGTTTTATACTAAAACTTACGGATTTTATATTAAAATTTCACGCTTTATACTAAAATTTACACATTTTATACCAAAATTTACACATTTTATACCAAAAATGGCATGGCTATGTTTACAATAACTTGCCAATTTCTATCACTTATGTTGGACAGTGTGTCTCCACCTCAAACCAGTAGAAAAGCGTCACCATCACATGTGGTGATGGGAGGACAAGAAGAAGATCAGGACATGCCCAAATCCATCCATCTTGTCCCCTCAAACTCCATTCTAAAAACCCCAAAATTCCACTTTTTCCACCCTGTGTTAATCCAACTACCACACAACTCAAACCCTTGTGGCTTGTGATTCCTCATAGAGATTTGGCAGCTTTTTCCACAGGCTAAAATGGAAGAGGATTAGAGAAATCACTGGAGAATATTTCCTTAATTGTCATGGATCCCAGGGGGAAAAAAAAAAAAAGTCTGGAAAAAGGCTTAATTACAACCCAAGTGGATCCAGAGGTGCTGCACTCCCCACTCTGTGTGGATCCCAAAAAATCTGGAAGCTGTCAGGTGGGCTGTTCCTTTCTCCAAGGAATCTGAGAAGGAGAAATGTTGGACACTCCCAAATCCGTGGGATCCCTCAGGGGCCTTACAGGATTTTCAAGGGCACAGGGATGGCATCCACACCCCTGGAGCATCCTGGAGTTTCTCCAGGACCTGTGCCACCCTCATCCTGCTTTTTTTTGGGATCTGTCCATGTGGATGATGCCATTCCCTCCCAAATCTATGGGATCACTCAGATCCCATGGGGAGGACACGGATTTTCAAGGACACAGGGATGGCATCCACACCCCTGGAGTGTCCCTAGGAGCATCCTGTGCCACCCTCATCCTGCTTTTTTTTGGGATCTGTCCATGTGGATAATGCCATTCCCTCCCAAATCCGTGGGATCACTCAGGGGCCTTACAGGATTTTCAAGGGCACAGGGATGGCATCCACACCCTTGGAGTTTCTCCAGGACCTGTGCCACCCTCATCCTGCTTTTTTTTGGGATCTGTCCATGTGGATGATGCCATTCCCTCCCAAATCCGTGGGATCACTCAGGGGCCTTACAGGATTTTCAAGAACACAGGGATGGCATCCACACCCTTGGAGCATCCTGGAGTTTCTCCAGGACCTGTGCCACCCTCATCCTGCTTTTTTTTGGGATCTGTCCATGTGGATAATGCCATTCCCTGCCACTGCACTAGATCCTGAGGTGCAGGAAATCCTAAATCCCACCTGCTCCCGGATTTACCCAGTTCCCCTCTCAGAGTGAGGCAGGCCCCATGGATCTCCTTGGTCCACTGCTCCAGGAGGGCAGGAAAACCCCCAGGAATTCTGGTTTTTAAAACTCCATAGGTGGGAAGGCAGGACCAGGATCTCCATGAAACTCAGGAATTTCTAGGCTACAAATTGATATCCAAGCAAAAAATTTGGACAAATGGATCCAGATGAAGAGGGGGAAGGATCGAGCTGGATGCTTGGAGCATGGAAGGATCCAGGTTGGAATTCTGACTATCTGTAACCCCATTTCTGGCCCAGGATTGAGTGGATTTCCTGCAAATTTGGACTTGAAAATGGATGGATTCCGGAAAATCTGGAAGCAGGGAGAGACCTCCTGATCCTCACACAAATTCCAGGATCTGCCAGCGCCAGGCTCTTCCCTGAATCCTCCTTTTGCCTGTCGTGCCCAAATGGCAATTTTCATTCTCCTGGAAACTGCCCCAGATCCTGAAAATTCCCAGGAAAAGAGGGAAAAAAAGCAGGAAAAAGAGGGGGGAAAAAAAAGCAGAAAAACTCACCTCTGAGAATTGTGAGGAGGGGCTGTCATCCAGGGAATTGCTGTCAAAAAAACTGGGAAAAAGAGGAGATTTAGGGCAAGGCTTTCTTAAAATTCCTCCTGTGCTTCCCAAATTCTCCCACTTTTGTTTGCTGAAATCTTCCCAGAAAGGGTAAATAAAAAAGGAAGAAAAAGGATAAAAAAAAAAAGGGGAAGAAAAAAATCAAAAAGGGAAAAAAAATTAAAAAAGTAAAAAAAAGGCAAACACAAAAAATAATGAAAGGGATTTTCCCCCCTAAATTCTAAAAAGCACTAATACTTTGATTTCCTTTAGGAAAAAAGCCACTTTTTCTTCCTAAATACTAAATAGGGCAAGAAAAAACATAAAGGGGAAAAAAAAAAAGACCAAAAACGTTAAAAAAAGGCAAACACAAAAAATAATTAAAAGTATAAAAAACACTAAAATGGGTAAAAAGAAATCATAAAGAAAAAAGAAAAAAAGACCAAAAAGGGTAAAAATATCACGAAGACCAAAAGGTTTTGGGTTTTTTTTTATTGTTGTTTTTTGTTGGGTTTTTTATTTTGTTTTGTGTGGGGTATTTTCTGTGTCTCTTGTGGATTTTTAATGTTTTTTTTTTTAAGAATAAAGGGCAAAAACACATCAAAAAAAGAGCAAAAATAGCATTTTTCATCCTGAATCTCCTTGTTACTTGCTTAGATTTCCTTGGATTTCCTGTACCTGGAATCATCAGTGACTTCCTCAATGAAGCCAGACTCACAGCGGGGGCAGGTGTATTCCTGGGAAGACAAAAACCAGCTGGAATTAGCCACCAAATCCTTGGAAATCTCAAAAAAAAAAATCCCCCCTTCAGGAAGATTCCTAATCCCAGATCCCAAACAACACCAAAAAGTCCAAAACCCCTCTGGTATCTGGGGAAAAATGCAGAGGTTTGGAAGAAAATTCCATCCAAAAAAGAAGAATTTTCCCTGCTCCTATTCCCAGAGTTTCGGCCCAGACATGCAGATTAGAGGAAAAAAAACCCCAAAAAATCAAAAAAGACTCTCATGGATCTTCACATCCCAGGAACTGGTAGAATCCTGGTTTATTTTCTTTATCCCAATGAAAGATCCAATTGTCTCTCCATCATGGGCAAAGAAAAAAAACCAAAAAAACAACAACACCCCAAAAAAACCCCAAAACGAATGAGACTTTTTAGGGGTTTTGGGACTTCTTTTTATTTTTTTTATTTATTTGTCCATGATGGAGAGATAAATGGATCCTTCATTGGGATAAAGAAAAAAACTGGGATGCTCCCAGGTCCTGGACTGGAACTGGGATAATTCTAGGGATTATTCCCAGGAACAGGGATAATAATTCTCTGTATTTTCCCTGAGATTATTCACTGGAACTGGGATAATTCCAGGGATTATTCCCAGGAACTGGGACAATTATCTGTATTTTCCCTGAGATTATTCCCAGGAACTGAGATAACTTCCTGGATTTTCCCTGGGATTATTCCCAGGAACTGGGACAATTCTCTGTATTTTCCCTGAGATTATTCCCAGGAACTGGGATAATAATTCTCTGTATTTTCCCTGACATTATTCTCAGGAACTGGGACAATTCTCTGTATTTTCCCAGAGATTATTCCCAAGAATTTAGATAACTCCCTGGATTTTCCCTAGGATTATTCCCAGGAACTGGGACGATTTAGGAGTCATGGACAAGCCCCACTCTGCCGGACGAGCAGAACGAGACGGGAATGGAATCAGGGCTCTGGAATGACCCGATTCCATCAGGAGCAGGACATTCCCGCAGTCCAGGGCTATGGAATTTCCCTTTTCCATCACGAACAGGAATCCTTCCCGTCCCTTACCACACCGGCGACATTCCCCCCGTTCCGTGTGGCAACAACCTCGGCGGCCCGGCGGTCGCCCCTTCCTCAGGGGGCTCCGGGAGCCTTTGAGAGATCGCCCCGGCCCTCCCGGGCACCTCGAGGCTGTCCCCCCTCAGCGACCCTCCCTTCCCGCGGCTCACCGGCAGCTTGGGGCTGACCTCGCCCTTGCAGCTGTGGCAGAAGAACCGGTGCTGCTGCATCGCCGCCTCCGCCATCTTCCCTCACGGCCGCCTCTGCCGTCACTCCTCCCGGAGCAGCGAGCGCGGCCCGGAGCGGCCCCGCACTTCCGGTCAACTCGTCTGCTCCCCTCACGGCCAAGCAAAGGGCGGAGGAGCGGGCTAGAGCGGCCCCGCGCTTCCGGTCAACTCATCTGCTTCCCTCACGGCCCGCAAAGCGCGGCGGGGCCCGGCCGGAGCGGCCCCGGGATTCCGGTCAGCTCGTCTGCTCCCCTCACGGCCCGCAAAGCGCGGCGGGGCCCGGCCGGAGCGGCCCCAGCGCGGCGGGCAGCGCGGCGGCGCTTCCTGGTGGGAGCCTCCCATTGCGGGAGGCGGCGGAAGTGACGTAACAGGAAGTGGAGGCGGCGCGGAGCCGTTGTCATGGCGGCGGTGATGGCGGCCTAGGCCGGGCCCGCAGGTGAGGGCGGAGGGGACAGCGGGACACCGGGACACCGGGACGGGGCGGGGATCCCACCCGTGGGAGGGGGAAATCCTACCTGGGGAGCGGCTGATTCTCCCCGCGGGAGGGGATCCGCAGCGGGGTCAGCCATGTCTTCTCTTTCTCCCCTCAGCCCTTTCCTCTTTCTCCTTTCCTCTCCCGTTCCGTTCCGTTCCTTGCATTTTCCGGAGCCGCCGGGATGACTCAGGCGGAGCTGCGGCTCTGCTCCCTCCTGCTGCGGGAGAATTTTGGCGAAATTGTGGAAAAAGTTGGGAATTCTCTGCTCCGGACCGGCCCGCGGCCGCTGCGGCTGCTGGTGGGGGACACGGGGCTGCTGCCGGATCAGGTAAGGCATGGGGGAGGGAAAAGGTTTACATTAAAAAAAGGATTAAAATAATTGCATGTTATTTGAAGTTAAATAGAAATTATTCGACGTTAGTATGAATTTTAAAATTAATTTGGGGTTAATAGGAAATTAGTTGAAAATAATACGAATTTTAAATTAATTTGCGATTAATTAGAAATTATTTGTAATTATCTGAAGTTGATATGGGATTTAAAAATAATTAGAAATTGATATGGATTTATTCCTATGAAAAGGGACAGGATTGTTCCCATTAAAAGGGATGGGGTAATTCCCATTATTCCCAATTGGAGGGACCGGTTAATTCCCATTAAAAGGGACTGGTTAATTCCCATTAAAAGGGACGGGTTAATTCCCATTAAAAGGGACGGGGTAATTCCCATTATTCCCAATTGGAGGGACTGGTTAATTCCCATTAAAAGGGATGGTTTAATTCCCATTATTCCCATTAAAAGGGACTGGTTAATTCCCATTAAAACGGACGGGGTAATTCCCATTATTCCCATTAAAAGGGACGGGGTAATTCCCATTAAAAGGGACGGGGTAATTCCCATTAAAACGGACGGGGTAATTCCCATTATTCCCATTAAAAGGGACGGGGTAATTCCCATTATTCCCACTAGAAGGGACCGGTTAATTCCTATCAAAAGGGACGGGGTAATTCCCATTATTCCCACAAAAAGCCGCGGCGTAATTCCCACTCCTCCCATCCAATGGAACGTTTTATCCCCACGAGTGGCACCCGCCATTCCCACGGTCCATCCCCACGAGTGGCACCCGCCATTCCCACGGTCCATTCCCAGGAAAAGCTGGGAATTGCCTGGCTCCCCGCAGGTGAAGAAGGCGCTGTGCGTGCTCCTGCAGCACGGGCTGGCGCGCTACGCGCCGCAGCCGCGGGGCCCGGTGGAGTACGAGGCGCGGAGCGAGCGCGTCCTGCGCCTCCTGCGCTACCCCCGCTACATCTACACGGCCAAGACGCTCTACGGAGACCCCGGCGAGCTGCTGGTGGAGGAGCTGCTGCTCCACGGCCACCTCCCCATGAGCGCCGCCGTGGCCAGGGTGGCCGAGCGCCTCACCGAGACCATGGAAGGTGAGAGGGAAGCTCCTTCCCCCCAAAAAAATGGGATTTGGGAATGGTGGATGGGATCAGAGGCATCATAGGATGTTTTGTGTGGCACCCACTGGAGCTCATGGTGGTCCATGGCCACCTCCCCATGAGCGCCGCCGTGGCCAGGGTGGCCGAGCGCCTCACCGAGACCATGGAAGGTGAGAGGGAAGCTCCTTCCCCTCAAAAAAATGGGATTTGGGAATGGTGGATGGGATCAGAGGCATCATAGGATGTTTTGTGTGGCACCCACTGGAGCTCATGGTGGTCCATGGCCACCTCCCCATGAGCGCCGCCGTGGCCAGGGTGGCCGAGCGCCTCACCGAGACCATGGAAGGTGAGAGGGAAGCTCCTTCCCCCAAAAAAGTGGGATTTGGGAATGGTGGATGGGATGAGAGGCACTGTAGGCTGTTCATTGGAGACCTGGTGGAGGAGCTGCTGCTCCACGGCCACCTCCCCATGAGCGCCGCCGTGGCCAGGGTGGCTGAGCGCCTCACCGAGACCATGGAAGGTGAGAGGGAAGCTCCTTCCCCCCAAAAAAACGGGATTTGGGAATGGTAGATGGGATCAGATTCTTTGGGGATCTGGTGGAGGAGCTGTTGGTGGTCCATGGGTACCTCCGAGACCATGGAAGGTGGGAACGTGTCTCTCCTCCCTCCTCATCCTCAGGCCCACCCAGCATGTCCCTCCTGACCCTCAGGCCCACCCAACGTGTCCCTCCTGACCCTCAGGCCCACCCAGCGTGTCTCTCCTGACCCTCAGGCCCACCCAACGTATCCCTCCTGACCCTCAGGCCCNCAACGTGTCCCTCCTGACCCTCAGGCCCACCCAGCGTGTCTCTCCTGACCCTCAGGCCCACCCAACGTATCCCTCCTGACCCTCAGGCCCACCCAGCGTGTCTCTCCTGACCCTCAGGCCCACCCAAGGTGTCCCTCCTGACCCTCAGGCCCACCCCAGGTGTCCATCTTCATCCTCCCCACCACCCAAGGTGTCCCTCCTGACCCTCAGGCCCACCCAACGTGTCCCTCCTGACCCTCAGGCCCACCCAACGTGTCCCTCCTGACCCTCAGGCCCACCCAACGTGTCCCTCCTGACCCTCGGGCCCACCCCAGGTGTTTCTCCTCCCTCCTAGATGGGAAGTCCATGGATCACAGCGAGGTCTCGGCCACCTTCGCCCGCCTGGCCGACACCCACTTCATCCAGCGGTGCCCCGTGCCCCCCGAGATGCCCCCTGAGGTGCCCCATGATGCCAAGGTGCCACCAGCCCCTGCCCTGGCCATCGATGACAAGGACAGGTTCCTCGTGCCACGCCTCAGCCTCGTCGGTGAGACCCCCCCCAAGCTTGGGATTTTTAAAATAAATTTAAATTTAAAAAAATAAATTTAAATTAGAAATTAAGTACTACGTCAAAATGAAGCAGTAATTAAGATTTGTGAAAATTAAATTTTTTAAATATTTAAAAATGAGAATTCATTTTAAATTTTAAAAATTAAAATTATTACTTTTTAAAAAAATTTATCTTTAAACTTTAAAATTATTTTTAAACTTGTATATGTAATTCTATATATAATTTAGGTATCATTTATATGTAATTCTATATAATTTATGTTTTATTTATATATTATTTAAATATATAGTTGCATATTGTTCCTATCTATAGTTGTATATTTTTTATATATATAGTTGTATATCATTTTATATATAATTTTATATAATTGTATATATAATTATATAAAATTATATATCATATATGTTAAAATTATATATCTAATTTATAATTTTATATATTTATATCTAATTTAATATAATTTATATATAGTTTTATATTTTCATGGAATTTTATGTAATATTTATATATAATTCATGTATTTGTATATAATTTATCAAAAAATTAATATAATTTATATATAATTGAAACATAATTTTTATATAATGTTAATATAATTAAAATATAATTAAAATATAATTTTATATAATTTTATTTAGTTTACATAAAATTTATAGATGTAATTTTTGGGTTTTCAGGCAAAGGGAAGAGGAGACACTCGTGTGACGAGGAAGAGGAGGGCGAGCACAAAGCCAAAAGGCAGAAGCAAGAGGGAGGAAGCTCCGAGGTACTGGGGAACCTTCTGGGGAAACTTTTCCTTGTTTTTTATGACTTTTTTTCCTCATTTTTCCTTTATCTTTTTCCTCATTTCTTGTGGCTCCTTTTCCTCCTTTTTCCTTTCTCTTTTCCCTCATTTTTGTGACTTTTCCCTCCTTTTTCATAGCTCTTTTCCCTCATTTTTGTGGCTTTTCCCTCATTTTTCCTTTCTCTTTTTCCTCATTTTTGTGACTTTTCCCTCCTTTTTCATAGCTCCTTTTCGTCTTTTTCATGGCTAATTCCTCATTTCTCGTGGCTCCATGTCGTCATTTATCCTGGCTCTTTTTCCTCATTTTCGTGGCTTTTTCCTCTTTTTTTCTGTCTCCCGTCCCTCATTTTGTGCCTCTTTTTCCTCATTTTTCAAGGCTTCTTTTCCTCATTTTCCCCTCCTTTTTCATAGCTCTTTTTCCTCATTTTCCTGGTTTTTCCCTCACTTTCAAGGCCCTTTTTCCTCATTTTTGTGACTTTTTCCTCTTTTTTTGTGTCTCCCATCCCTCACTTTGTGCCTCTTTTTCCTCATTTTTCAAGGCTTCTTTTCCTCATTTTCCCCTTCTTTTTTCATAGCTCTTTTTCCTCATTTTCCTGTTTTTTCCCTCATTTTCAAGGCTCTTTTTCCTCATTTTCGTGGCTTTTTCCTCTTTTTTTCTGTCTCCCATCCCTCATTTTGTGCCTCTTTTTCCTCATTTTTCAAGGCTTCTTTTTCTCATTTTCCCCTCCTTTTTCATAGCTCTTTTTCCTCATTTTCCTGGTTTTTCCCTCACTTTCAAGGCCCTTTTTCCTCATTTTTTGACTTTTTCTTCTTTTTTTGTGTCTCCCATCCCTCACTTTGTGCCTCTTTTTCCTCATTTTTCAAGGCTTCTTTTCCTCATTTTCCCCTCCTTTTTCATAGCTCTTTTTCCTCTTTTTCCTGGCTTTTCCCTCATTTTCAAGGCTCTTTTTCCTCATTTTCGTGGCTTTTTCCTCTTTTTTTCTGTCTCCCATCCCTCATTTTGTGCCTCTTTTTCTTCATTTTTCAAGGCTTCTTTTCCTCATTTTCCCCTCCTTTTTCATAGCTCTTTTTCCTCCTTTTCCTGGTTTTTCCCTCATTTTCCAAGGCTCTTTTTCCTCATTTTTTTTGTCTTTTCTTCCCCCCAGCCTCCCCCGGACGATGGCATTTACTGGCAGGTGAACCTGGAGCGTTTCCACCAGCATTTCCGAGACCAGGCTCTGGTCAGCGCCGTGGCCAGCAGGATGGACCAGGTGTGTGCTCCCACCTGCTTTTCCCACCCTAATTCCTGCTTTTCCCACCCCGATTCCTGCTTTTCCCACCCCGATTCCTGCTTTTCCCACCCCGATTCCTGCTTTTCCCACCCCGATTCCTGCTTT